CGCCCTGCGGCTTCAGCTGGTCCCTGCGGCCCGAGCCTCTGCCTGTTGCCTCAACCTCTGTCTATCACAGGCCCACAGCAGTAGGACTTACAAACAGCAGCTATTTATTGATGTAAATTCATATTAGAAAGCTAGAAGTTGTTTCCTTGCCATTCATATACTACACTGAATTAAAAAAAAAAATCTAACAGTTAATTGCATACATAATTTTTCCCCACACTAGAGTACAAACTCCCCCTTCTCTGAATCTGATGCCCAGCGTGAACAAACGGTGGTGGCTGACCTGTGTCTGCTCAACAACAGAGAGAGTCTGAGTAGTGGAGCCAGGACCCAGACAATGAGAGAGAGGAAATGTTTAACCATTGCCATGGTAAACATGGCAGGGAGGTTGTGTCAGTGTATGGTAGTGACTGGGCAACTAAACACAACAAAGGTCATCTGTGAGACAGTGAATGACCCTTCTGCTGCACCTTTTTCTCACTCATAGCCCATAAACTCCCAACTTCTGGTTTTGGAACAAACATGAAATTAAAGAAAATGCATTTTAAGATAAATGACTGTTTGCCTGTGCAGCCTGGGCTCACACTCATCCTGAGTCTTTCAGGTTGAACCAATAATCATCTCTGGACCAGCGCATGGAGACTTTTGTGTTCACGTTATTGGCGCCTTGTTAAAAGAAGCGGTTTTATGTTTTCAGCCTCTGGGGAAAAAATCCACTTAGAATTCACAATGATTTAAAATAAAACCTTCCTAACTGTGGTTGGTGGTTTATCCATGTGGCTGCTGCTGCGCGGGCTCGACGCTCTGATGAGATAACAGGCCGCAGCTGTGCCCACTCCCGTCGCGCCGCGGACAAACAAGATGGTAAATATCCGGGATGATTAACGAGTGTGTTTAAACAGAGTTTACTTAAGTTACGGGGACTGTGTAAAGATTGTTTGTTGTTTAATATTAAGTCACATTTATTTTTTAAATCGGTCAATAACAAACGAACCGGATTTATTCATCAGAAAAAAACGGAATAAGCTGAACTCAGCCTATGCTATTGGTCTATTCAACATGGTTTCAGTCTGAATCTAAGTCTCTTAAAATGTAATCTCACGTAATATAACAAACTATCTGATTTTTGAAAAGTGCTGTATGCTAAAATTTCTGCTTTCCTTATTTTAGTCTTAAATCGCTCTAAATTCAAATGGACGTTGGTGCACGGAGTTATGAACCAAATATAAACCATATCACCCACAGAATATAATGTTCATAAAACTGCTGCCTCAGCCAAACTCTGCAGCTGTTTGTTATTCTGTCCACCCCCTCTGTTACACAGTGCAGGCTGTAGCGCCCCCTGCTGTCACGGATTTCAGGAAAACTCAAAAACAGTTACAATCTCGTTTTATTCAGTATCTAACAAAAAGCCTTAAGTCACAATTAGGTTAAATGGAGTTTGGTGCAGTGAGGAGATGGAAAACAAAGCATCACCGTGATTTTTATAACAACAGAGTCTGGTTAAAAAAAAATCCACACATCTACGTTCACACTGCAGGTCTTAATGCTCAGATCGGATTTTTTTTTTTTTTTTGCCGAAATCCGATTTTTTTGCGCTGTTGTTCACACTGTCATTTAAATGCGACTGCCATCTGTCTCATGTGTGAACGGTATACGGTCCTGAGGTGACCCGCATGCGCAGAAGAGGACGCGACGTCAGACGCAGCGTACTGTTTGCGAAAATAAAAATGGATGCGGCTCGTGATAGCATGTGTGTAGCGATGTACCAGTTAATGTGCAATCGAAATAAAGAAATAATAATAATAAGAACATCAAGAAGGAGGAGAGCACAAATATTGCTTATGGCCTCACCTCCTCCAGCGCAGAATTGTGACGCATGTCGCATTTCAATGACATAAAAATCGCACGAAATGCGACATGGCCATTCAGACTGAAGTCGCATTGCAAAACATCGGATATGTATCCGATTTAGGATCACATATGAAAGTGGCCTGGGGCGGATTTGAAAAAAAAAAAATCGGATTTGTGCTGTTCACACTGTCATAAGGAAATCGGATATGGGTCACATTTGGGCAAAAAGATCGGATTTGAGTAACATCAGCCTGTAGTGTGAACGTAGTCTAATAAAACTACAAAACCATTTTTCTGTGTGTGTCAGTTTGAGGTGGAGACAGAGGACTGCCTGCGCCGTGGAGACTTGTCTCACCTGGTTTCTGTGCTCCGTTCTGAAGGCCTGACCAAAGGCACCCTCGCCAGGCTGCACCAGCTGGTTACCAAGGTAACAGGATGGCATCTGTGTGCTTTAACTAATCCAAATCACTGAAATGATCCTGGTTACTCTTCTTCAAACATGGACTGGGGACCGATTGGTTTATAATCCTGGATGACATCATCTTGAATATCATCAAGCATTTATTTTGAAATAAACATGAGATGAGAATTGAAACCACGACTGATTCTGCATTATATGGCTGAAGGTACCTGATGCAGGTGTGTTGGGGACACTTCCAGCCTCGTTATGTGATCCCGGTTTGGTCCACACTGAACTCCACAGTGTTTCCAGCCTTGGATCACAGTAAAATGGGATGTGATTGCAGTGATGTTGCTGCAGGATTAGTCCGGGACATGAACCTGCTTTAAAAATGAAATACTTCTGAAATCTCTCAGTAAACAGCTTCAAATGCAAAGTGACTTGTCAAATATCAGATTTGAATGTCCACATCACCTGAACCTTTATATGTTCCGGATAACCATAGCCGGTGTTAGGAAGTCAGCAACATTCTGATATTGGAGAAGAACCCCAGGGCCCATCTCTGCTGCTGTTTGACAGGAGCTGCACAGGTCTGGTTCCAGCAGAGTCCTGGTGGTGCTGACATCTTTACGGAGTCTGTCACAGAACAGAGAGGAACTGCAGAGCTTCATCGACCATGGGCTGATTGCTAAGGTAATCTGATCTATTATCAACTGTCAAGATGTACTAATAACCTATAATCAATTATGGATCTGTACTAATTTATTATCAATTATCAGTCTAATAATCTATCAATCTGCTAATCAATTATGAATTTATCAATCTGGAGTAATCTTATCAATTATGACTCTGTAGTAATATATTGTCATTTAACAGTCTTCATTATCAGTCAGTCTCTAGCCTACTTAACCATTATTGATCTGTGTAACCAATTATCAGTCTGTACTAATCTATAATAAATTATTAATTGCTGTCGATTATTGATCTGTACTACTCTGTTAATGATCGAGTCATCTGCAACCATTTACAGTAACACTATCTACTTGCATCACTGTGTTTATATGATGCTGTTGTTTCCTGTCTGTGTAGGTGCTACTGTGGTTTAATGCAGTCTATGACCAGCTGACCTCTGAACTCGTTAAAAGCTCCACCCCCCTTGTGAGCCTGACTGAGGAGTTCTTTAGCTACTTCCTGGTGAGGAGCATACTGGGTAGGTGAAGTATGATTCAGTTACAGGATCCCACACATCACCTGACCACTGTAGGGGTGAGCTCAAAGTGTTTTAGACAAACAGGACTCACCGTCCAGTCCTTCCTGTGAGGCCCAGTTACAATACTGGTCCGCTGGATGATGTGTCCTCATTGGCTGCAGTTTGTTGCCTTTGCACCTGGTCACGATGATGCCAGTAGCACCATTTCCAGATCTTTCAGATAACTACTCAAGCTGGTACAACAGGCTTTCCGATGTTTCTGCCACATCAAGCTTGATTTACCCCTAAATTTTATGGGATCTGTGTCCTGGTGATGCCTCTCAACACCTTGGAAGATCAATTTACATCCAGGCTCTGATGTTGTCAGTCGACTATACTGCGCTTCTTGAGACTGGACACATGGAAAGCAGTTAGCAGGCATCTTGTAGCAGAAAACCAGCCCTGAACTGGCCACAGATTCTCAGTATGCTCAGATTTATCACATTTATTTGCTTCATGATGAGACCCGGTTGATCTCAGACAACGCACTGAAATGAACACAACTGTGTCCCCCTGGTCAGGGGCTTTGGACTTCAGGACTGTATGAGAGTCATTTACAGCCAAGTTTAACTTTTGATAATTAGACATTCGTGTTTTTTTCTGAGACTTCCTGTAACTGCCCATCTGTCCATCAGCTGCTGGGTCAAGCTTCACTCCCAGGTTTGTTCCTTCACTACGTGTGTTTCATTTTCAGTCAGAAATTCACTTTGCTTCACATGTCACCCTCTAAACTAATCGGTCTGCCTCTCCACATGTCTGCCTCTCAGTCAGCCAGCTGTCTGTGCTCCTCCTCCACTTGGCTCAGGTTGCTGTGCAGACAGGAATCCACTTTCCACTGAGACTGGAGGTAGGTTCTACTGGTCTCTACTCCTCTGTTCGGGTCTGTACCACTCTCACCCACTCTCTGCTGGTCTCTACTGGTTTCTAATGGTCTGTCCCACTCTCTCTTCAGGCCATCAGAACCTTCAACAGCATCCTGGGTTCTCTGAGCCACAAGCAGAGGAGACTGATCCAGAACAACAAGAACCAGAGCGAAACACTGTAATACCCGCTCTGTGTCTGACTGATACAGGAAATGTGCCAAGTGTTTAACATCTTTTGTCTTTCTGGTCTCGTCTCCCCTGCCTGTCTGTACAAACACCCCATTTCAAAACTCACTACTGACCTATATCATCAATCTATTTGCCTGTGTGACAGATCCCCTATGGCAGCAGCAGTTCTGACAGCTGGAGGTGAGTTTCTCTCTGAACGGCAAGGCCCGGTCTCTCTGCTGTCCCCATGTCTGCTGTTCTTGACTGCTGTCATTGTTTCAGACTATGAGCTGCAGGTCAGCCTTACAGAGGCGCTGTGTCTTCTGACACCTGGGAAGAAGCGAGAGGAGCGAGCCAATCAGTGGTTCTCCAGCCCTGACATCAGCAACGCCTTCTGTGACATCAAAGACAGAACCTTTGAGGGGGCGAGTGACCCACCTGCCTGTCTGAACATCTGTCTGAAGACCTGACTGAACACCTGTCTGAACATCCGTCTATCTGAACACCCATCTGTCTGAGTGAACACCTGTCTCTCTCTCTCCAGGACTGCAGATATTTCCTAAACATTGTTAACAGTTGCCATGGAGACCAGAGGAGGTGATAAACTTAATTAAACCTGGTTCTGGTGAATCCAAGAGACATTCCCTGATGTGTTTTTTCCCTGTGCTCTGTCTGTCAGGGTCTACACCTTGCCATGTCTCACAGCATTTCTGGACTCCACTCAGGTAATTATTTAACCCTTTAAACTTTTATGATTCACCTCAGCACACGTTCAAGTGCGTCCAGGCTTTTCTCTTTTCTTCGCCTGCAGCTGTTTCGACCAGAAGACGACACTCTGGATGAGTTCTGGATCGATTTTAACCTCGGCTCAGGATGTGTGAGCTTCTTTATTGATGAGCCTGAGGTAGAAAACTGCACTCTGCTGCATCAAGACGTAGTAGTACTGCAGTAGTACTGTGTGTGATCAACATAGTTAATGTTAGTGTGGCAGTCTGAGGTGGGACAGAAACTACAGTTCTAGTAAAGATTCTTCTAGATTTAACACCATTTACTTCATTAGACTGCAGACCAGTGCCACTGCAGACCAATTTTTTTGCACACTGTGTGTTTCAGGGTTTCCTGTGGGACTCCATCCACCTGCTGAGGGAGGAGGTGGATTATTACAGTCTCCAGATGAAAGATGACGGTCAGTGGTTCTTATCCAGATGTAATGGGTTTGTTTAAATTATCTCTTGCAGCTGTTCTGTGTTGTTTGCTTCTGATTCTCACCAGCACCTGGACAGGTGACTGACTCTGGATCCATTTGTCAAGACGTGTCTTCTGTGGGTTTTCCCAGGGTCTACCGGGTCACAGACGGTCCTCAGCGTCCAATTGAACAACCCTATCAGATGCAACAACACCAGAGGTCAGACAGTGGAGCTGAGCTTCAGCTACGAACATCAGAGGGAGCTGGAGGAGGCTGCTGCCAGAGTCTTCATGGTACCCGGCTGTTGGTACACCTGTCTGTCTGTCTGTCTGTCTGTCTACCATACTTGTCTGCTCACAAACAGCATTTGACTGTCTGTGCAGAAAGTAAAGAGCTCCCCCCATGCTGAAGACACGGGTGGTGCAGTCTGGGCCACCCCCTCTGCAGACAAACACACTGGTCGATCCTACAGCAAGAACAAACCAGAGAGCCAGAGTGAGTCGGTCTGAACCTGCTTACAACCTTTCACAATAAAAACCAAACACCACAAGAGGAAATCACCACAGAGAGGCTCTAAATCTCTACAGAGCCTCAAATCCACCACAGAGACTCTGAACTACCAGAAACTACATCACCACAAAATAAAATTAAAGTTCACATAAGTGTAGCTAAGTAGCAGCAGGTGACGACATGGCTGCTGTCAGTCATTACAGCTGTACACAGCGTTTCATGGTTAAATTCTTTCAACCTAACTGATAATAAATTAATCATCATCTTTAAAAGTTAATTGCACAATATAAAAGATTTTGTTCATTTGTTACAACCATTGTATTTTATTACACATGATAGGGCATAACAATACGTTGGCGTCGTTTCGCTGTCCAGTTCAGCATCTGTCCTTATCGGGCAGCGAGGTCAACAACTCAAGGATTGAGGTAACTGCACACACACATATGAATAAACATAACTGTGCACATTTCTAAATGTGATGGACACGCGTCCACTCAGACTTTAGGACAAAGCCGGGCTGCTCTAGGATCAGATCCAACACTCCACATTCGACTTGGGTCAGACACTAGTTTCACAGGAGAAGCCGGCTGACAAGTGGATGTAATCCAGATGTTTTTGTGGGGGGGTAGAGCTAGCGGTCTCCTGGGAACAAACGGGAGTCTGGAGGAAGCAGCTCTGCTTTACAACTTTGAGTACATGTCACTTCCCTTAAGTGCATCCACATTCCCCTCACTGCGTCTTAGTCCTGCCCACATAAGATGCAAGGAGAGAGGAACTAAGGAAACACAGTTTTAGAGACATCCTTTCCTCCTCCATCTGAAGCGTTCAAACACCAACAGATTTCCAATAAGAGGATGTCAGTCCATAAAAGGACAGTCTTGTGTATCGTCATGCTATCTCCTCCAGGCAGCTTCCTCACTCCTCGATCATCAGAGCTCTGGGACACCCCTCATGATGACTGAGCTGAACGACTCCCATGTTGAGCAGGGATCAAGGACCGATCAAATAAGGGAACTGGGATGCTCCCTGGTACTTTTCTTCTTGTTACTCATTCATGAACGATCTGCCCTTTCCCTTCTCTCACCTGTTTGCTGTTTGTTTTGCAGAAGGTCGTCAGGTCTGACAGGAAGAGAGTGGCTCCAGATGCAGGTCTTTGTCTTTGGTTCCTTTAAAAAATTCACTCTGATTAAACTCTTCATGGCTTCACACTTCCACAGAAACACCAGGTCTTCATAAATGAAGTGGGGAAACAAAATAAAAATAGGTGACTTGTCTTTGAGCCTTTTTACGTTCTGTCAAAATTCACTGCTTCAGAGTCTGCACTGAGGCCTGAGGACGAGCCGGGGGCGGAGCCAGAGTCAGACCTGACCTTGGGCATCACAGCTGCCTTTGAACGCTTCAGAGAACAACTACACTTTACTGTGAGTGATCACATGATTGATGATCAGTTCTGACTGATATCATATGTCTGCTCAAAACCTTAGGTTCTATAAAGATAAACTGGAAAATATCTTTACAGGGCTGCTGGCAGAAAGTTAAAAACGATGTCCTGCTGTGTCTGAGAGACTATCAACAACATGTCTCATCACTGCTCACACATGTCCACTGGGACAGGTACAACACACCTGTCAATCCGCCCACAGTACTGTTGCACAGGGTAACATACGGAGTCAGGAACAAGAAATGTCGAAAAACCACAAACCACTGTAACATAAAGATTCAAAAAGTATGAAGACGAGTAGCATAGAAAACACATGAAGTACTACACAAAGTAACAGAACAATGGACAGAGTACAGGGAATGTACTTACAACAGCCTGAAAGAACGACTGCTTCAGAGATCATGTTCTGTAAGTACACTGCAAATACCTTCACCCTATGACTGATACCCGAGGAGATGTTTTTATTATGCAGTGCCACCGTTTTTCAGGACTTTGTCTTGGGGAAACAGCTAGAGTTCAGCGCAGAAGCACACTCGCTTGTTCTCATTGAGATATTTGTAGCCTAACAGATGTTACACCATAGAAACATCTGTAAAGCCTAGATGATCATAAAGGAGCAAAATGTATGAATTTCTTCAGAGAACCAGATTTAACTTTGAGATAAATGTCAGGTGTAAACACTTCAGTTTTGGGATGAGGATCGACTGGTGTGAATGTCCTCTGTGTGTTTCATAGGCTGTTGCTGCTGCAGAGGTTTGAGAACAGCATCACTGATCAAATGAACCAACTGGAAGAAAGTTCAACCAACCTGAACTCCATCAACACCCAGATAGTTGTTAGACTTTGAATAAAAAAGTCATTGTGCTTCATGAACATGTTTAGATCTCAGAGCTCATCCAGGACTGACGGTCCCCGTTTGTTTTTCAGAGCTTTTTCCAGTCTGAGATTCAGCAACTCGGCTCCTTCTGTGAAAAACACCTGCAGAGGTAAGTCTGGTCTGGTTCAGACCTGTTTACTCTAAAAAGGTCTGGTTTGATGTGGTTTTAACACATTTACAAGAATCTGTCAAAATACGGATTCAATCCGTTCCGACTGTTATAACCAAAATGATGTTTAAACAAAAATGGGCTGTCTGGATCTGGATTAAACACATTCAGTCTAGCAGGATCTGGTTTAGATCTGGTGTAAACTGGTTTCAAACCTTCAGATCTCATCAACCCACTTCCACTGTCAGAATCTGTTTGAGATGTGTTCAGATTGCCATTAACTATTCCAAACCTGTTTACACTTGCAGAGCCTGGTTTGGACCAGGTTTACACCTGTTTAGATAGTCAGGATTTTGATTACACCTATTTACACTGGTAGATTCTTATTTGGATCTTGTTATATTGTGAAGATCTAGATTAAATCTGGTTTAGACTTCTTCTGCAGCTGGTGTTTGTTACCTCAGGTTGAAGTCTTTGGAGAATGCAGAGCTGGGGAACCAGTCCAGCCACTGAAGGAGGTGAAGAGCTCGTCCAGTCAGAAGAGACTTGTATTTGTTTAAACTTTGTGATCCAAATTGTCAGTCCGAGTTCTTATCTGTTAAGAGGAGAAAATAGTGATCAGATTCAGAACCAGACCCAAAGTACAGCTGTAAACAGTGTTTGATAGATCACCATCATTCACCAAACTCCAAATTTTTTTTCATGTTAACAGTTTTTTTTTCTCTGACGACCAGAGAAATAAATATTTAAAGAAAACCAAAGTGGGCAAAGTCTATGAACTCATTTTATTTTATTTTTTTAAAGGGGCAAGAAACAGTTTGAACTCTGCTGTCCTGCTGGTTCTGGTAGTGGTTTGACAGGGTGCAGTGACTTAAAAGTACCACAGTGTGGACACTAAGTAACATCAGCAGATTCACCAACAAGTACAGTTTAAGGCAACCACAGCTATGAACAGCACAAGCTGCGGTATCCTTCTGGAACATATTGACATTATGAAAGACACTAACGTAAGATAAAAGTCAGCTGAGACCAGGAGCTGGAGTTCAGAGAGAGACAATTACATGGGAAAATAAAGGGATTAGGTAGGTAGGTAGGTAGGTAGAACTTTATTGATCCCACAGTGGGGAAGTTCCAGTGTTGCAGCAGCAGTAAGGGACAAAACAACATGACACCATAGAATAAACACCATACACATATCTTGAGAAAACAAGATCCAGGTACCTAGAAACCAGACAAAAATATAGTATGTAAGAGACAATCAAGAACAAGAATAGACCTTCCCCAGTTTGTCCCTGAGACACAAGTCAAAAAAGATATTTAGGAACAAGACAATGTATTGTGATGTATTGTACAGTCTGATTGCTGTGGGGAGGAACGGCCTATGGTAATGTAGTGGTTAAAAATAAACAAGGTTCCAGAGGTAATATGTAATAGAACAGTATGTAGTTCATATATAGATATTATTTGTAATAGTTATGTAAGGCTGAGCTAAGTGTGTACGGAAGCTTGATCTGTTTCTGGCGAAAGCAAGAATATCTTGGGCTGTCCCCCTAGAAGTTCATGTACTGGACATTTTAGACAATGCTTGGAAGAAGGTGTGTGGAGCTGGCATGCGACTGCGTCTCTGACTTAGGCCATGGAAGGCTGTGTAAGTGCGAGCAGATAAAAGGCTAGGATAGCTGGGTTGGGAAAGAAGAAGAAGAGAGGATGACAATGCTACTGTGAAAAGTGTTCAGGGGACCCAGGCCTGGGTGGGGAAACAAACTCAGGACTATAAATTCTGATGGTACCTCGTGACCAACAACAACTGACTAGACTGGCGCTTTTGACAGTCTTCTTATTTAATACTTCATCTTCATTAACTTTGCTCATTAAGAGAGAGCCACATTTCTTTCTCAGGGCAGATGTCTTGTGTGGATGCTTGTAAAATGGAATATATCCACATGTTTTACTGGTAGCTGAACCATTCCTGGCGATATCATAACACTCGGCAAGTGTATATGTGGTCTTACATTTGGGACAGACGGCATATTGGCAGAAGTTGTCTCTGTTAATACTGGTCAATTTCCTCAGTGAATGTAAAGTCTTGGGAATCATATCAGCAAAACTGCTAAGTAAATCAACAGAGAGAATATTTCCAATGCGCTACAAAGTGTCTGAGGCACAGCAGCAATGCAGTGACGGCATTGTCTGATATGTTGAATACAGCTTGCCAGGTTAAAAGCATGAATGCAAGTAGGTTTACAAGTAACTGCCTGGAGTCATCACTATTGGTTTTATCTGCTTCAGTGTTATCATCTTCTGCAAAATCCAAATTTTCATGGTCCTGCTCATCTGTAAAGATAGCCTCTTCACTGTCACTGTCATCATCTGAAGACTCTGTTTCAGGCTCCAGGAAAAGCCTGAACTCATCGCTGTCTTCTTATTAAATGGACAAAAAGATAAACATTATTTGTAAGCACAGAACAAACAATGATGTAAGTGCAACACTCTCGGCCAATAATTTTACAAACACCTCCTTGCGCTGCTAACATCTGATCCATAGCCATTCTATTTTGCAAGGTCATTTTAGTTGTTTCTCCTAATTGCTGCTGCATAAGGGAAATACTTGTGGCGGTTCTATTTGCTAATTCATAGGTAATATTAGACAAGTCTCTGATTTGATCTAATGCCTGCATCACTCCATAACCTGGTAACAATGCCCCAAAGAACCTAGAAACGCTGGTTTGATGATATGTAAAATATGGGTCATTACTGGGGTCCCAAGCATATTTAGCCTCTACATCTCTTTTAGCTCTTTTAGCTCCCACGGCTGTCAGATGCTGTTCAAATCTCTCTATGCTGGGAAGATATTTAGTAACTCTCATCGCTGGTGTAATATAAAACAAAGAACATTTACCTCTCCATTGTCTTAGTGGAGGAAGATAACTAAATCCTATGCTGCCGCATGACCATCTCATATTCTTTGGCACTTTAACAGAGGTTTTAGTTAAAATACTTTGCAACCATGTCTGCCTATTCTGATTATTGGCACAACTCTTTTCTTCAAAATAATCCTGTGTGGGTGGTGGGCATTCCAAATTACCTAAAAATGGGCTGGTATCATCGCCTGTTCCCTCTACGATGGGGTTAGATAAGGGTCCACTGTTCTGTGCATGCAATTTACAACTCGTATCTCTATAGTTTCTTGCAGCCATTCAGGTTTATAGTGTCCTGCATATGCACTAGTAACTTCAGGTATAACTAACTGACTCTTGGAGGTGACAAACATCCCGGACGGTTGACTGACATCACTGGGAATGGACTGTCCATTCCTTGTCCATAAGGCTAAATCTGCTCTGGTCCTGTTGTCGTTTTGTAACATAAGCAACGGTTGCTGTGGTTCCTGCCCTGCTCTAATTTCTATAGCTCCTCCTGCACATACGATTACCTTACTAACTTGAGCTATATTTACTATGGGGGGTATTTGGTGTTCTCTTATACCTCCCTCAGTCAAATTTACCACTTTTCTAGTTTCATCACCTGTGGCTATAATAATGTCCCTGTCAGTGTTTCCTTGTGTAATAATGTTTGGATCATATACCTCTCCTGATGCTCCACACTGCACAACCTGAATGAGGGTACTATTTACTCTTTTCCCATTTTGTGATACCACATACGTCCCATCCAGGCTGCCACCTGTCTGTGAGGATGTATGTATGGCCAAACTATTGTGAGGGCCCATAAACCAAACTGTAGGGTCTAAGCTTGTGGCTGTTATTTTCCCATCCTTTCCTTTAACTGTCACGAGTACCTCGTCTCTCCCTTGACCATTTGCCTGTCTCTCCCATATTGTAGTACCTAGTGACTCCTCCTGTGGCCCTTCTAATACTACATCCAAATGCTGACACACTTTGTAAGGTGGATACGCCCTAGGAGAAAGTTGCACATACTGATCTTTCTGTAATATATACTGGCTGGCAGTGGCTGGTTGGTGTGGTTGTAGGCCTACCTTCTCTGGCCATTTGTAGCATAGAAGTGCCATCACTATTAAGACGCTTAA